GAGAGAGAGAGAGAGATGAAGGGGTAGAGAGAGCATTAATGAAAATCAGTTAGAAAGAGATTTCATAACATGACAGACGGATGACCAGATGAACTGAGAGGGAAAGAAAGAGAACAAGACGAGGGGAATGAAATGATAAAGATATGAGATTACAAAGGGTGGAATGATAAAGTGAATTTGTTCATATTTCACCATGTATACACTACCTTACACACACCATTCTGAAGAGTGACTGGAAAATACTTTGACTGCAACTGCTGCTTCTGCTCCTAATACTTATACTGAACTGTTATAAAATAATTTATAATCTGAGTATGTGTGGGTGTGTGTGTGTCCTTTCCCACAGGAATGTTGATCTGATAATGGGATTAATACTAAAAGCTCCACTGACTGACCGTTTCTCTGTCTCTCCAGGGTCATTCAGGACTGAAGGCATCAAGGCGTCTGATGTTCTTCCTGTGTTAAAGGAGAAAGTTGCCTTTGTGTCAGGTGAGTGTCGGCCAGTGTTGTTGTCAAATCACCAAACCTTCAGTCCAGGACAGACCTCACTGAGGTCATATCAAAGTCAGTGAGGTCATATCTGAAGCATTGAGTCAGAGTTACTGAGAATCACAAGAAAATCTGATAGAAAAAACCTACATCAAAATCCATCTGAAAGTGGGGCAGAACTCCAGGGGCCGTCCTAACAAAGGATCTTATCTTACCAATAGGAGTCTACATTAATGGTGCTTTAGTTCTTAACTCAGAGTTCCCTCTTAAGAGGAAACAAACCTGCTGAGAGACACTTCTAGTAAAGAACTGAGAGAACTACTAAGCTATAAGAGAAGGGCCGGGGGTTGTGTGTTGCTGTTGTGCGCGAATGAATCTACTCACTAATGTCTATAGTGATTGATTGATAGGTAACTGATCTGGTTAGGGATATTAGTACTCATGGATACACAGCAGCACATAAAACACATTGAATTACAAGATAGATAAACTGACAGACAGACAGATAGAGAGCATAGAGCAGAGTGTGAATCTACTCGCCTCACCATTTGTTTCCATTAGATCACCTGTCAAAGATTTGAATACACAACGATTTTCATCATATTACATGGCTACTTTTTCATCAATTAATACAAGAAGTCAGATAAATCTCACTTTTTATTTTTAATTCTTTTCGATACCAGTATCTGTGTGACCCATATCAGTACATTAATATAACTAGTGGTGTTATTTTTACATACGAATCAGTGGTGACAGAAGTCCAGTAATCACATCTAAGGGCTTCTCGACTAGCCTTACTCACTGACTCTATAACCTGGGCTTTAGTTTTGCTGTAGAATGCAGGTATCGCCCTTTCTGTAAAGGGGATTAGTGTTGTCTTCCCTCTCTGAGTTGGACTGCAAGCTTGACAGCGCCTCCTCAATTCTCGGCTGATTAGTTGGGCTCGCTGTATTCTTCATGGTTGCAGACGTTAGCTCAGGGTGAAAATGGCTGACATGGTTCGTCATATTACCAAAGGATTCTATTTTTGTGAGTCTGATTTTGCACACAGTAAAATCTTGTGTCTGTCCAGTTCATGCTTCCCACTAAGCGTATAAAATCCGAAATAAAGGCCCAGATGTCTGCTGATCTTGGCCTACCTCTGCCGAATTTCCATATAAAAGTAACGTAAATAGAGTGTAAGTGTACAACTTTATTGTCCAGCCGAGGCTAGACAATAAACAATCAATGTTAGTAGGATGCAAATTACTCTTCGACAATGTCCGCATTTGAATACATTTTACAATCTTTATCCGGTTGACAAATTCCAAGCTCATCAGTAGTGTCACAGTAGTACAGGATTGTGCAAACCATCATCTCCAGTGTGATTGGAGTGTTTTGACTTCTTGGATCTGTATTAACTCAAAATATGTGTTTCAAAGTTATTGTTGGATTATTCCAAACCACTGATGCGACAAGGCGCATTACTTACTGCAGCTGACTGACGGCGAGTAGGTCCTAGTGACTTAGGAGTCCTATGGACTGTCTCCAACCCCTTTCAGACTTAAGACAAACTTTAAAAGCTAAAATGGTTTGTCAGGAAAATCACTGGGAATCCCTTTGCTCGGGGTTCAGGGTCTAATCAAGGACACTGACAAGTCTGCATACAGACAGGACATTAAACAGCTAGCCCTCCAGTGTAGTCACAATAGGTTGCTGGGGCTGAACACACTCAGAAGAAGTGTGGATATGACAGTGGACTTGAGGAGGAGCCCCCTACAGTGATCCCACTCTACTTACTTAAAAGCACTATGTCAGCCACTGTGTCAGCTATGGAAATCTTCACGACTGTAGAAAAGATCACCAGGACATGCACACATCTGAGACAGGAAACGGGCAGGGAAAACCATCACAGGCCCTTCACACCCTGAACATGACTTATGTGAACTTCTCCCCTCCAGCAGGCGCTCCACATCACTCTGTGCCAAAACAAGCAGAGAAAGCAGACACATGAACTGTTTCACTCCACAGGCCATCACGCTCACTCAGCCATGTGATATATTTTGACTCTGAACAAACAAGATAAAACATCATATGACCTCGTCAGCTGACCAGCCAAAAACATTGTCCGCCCCCCAATAATATAGAAAAATCCAATTTTCTCCTGCTACAACAGCTGCTGTGAACTGAGAAGAACCCAAGCATAGATCACAGAAAAGTATCGCTCTACTTGTATTCTCTGACCCGATCAGAAAGAAACTCGAGGACAGTCAGAACAGTCGGAAATAGACCTGACGAAATCTGAAATGTAGTCTATCTGAACAGCGGCCCACGTTGATGATCATTGTGCACCATGTGATCAAAGCAATCAGCATGGATCAACTCAGGTACTACACATATTGACGCACTGACCCAAGGTCCATGGCAATACAGGACCCTACTGAGACCTGCTTAAACTGAATGTAAATTGGACCCGGCTAGTCTCACCTGGTCGCTAGGAACCAATAAACTCATGAAGACCCTCACTATGTGATAATAAAGTTGCACTGGAAGGTGTTGATTAACAGAAAATGAATCTGCAACGAGTGAGTTGCAATCTGCAACAATAGATGCAACTAAATCATTAACAGAGGTTCTTTAATTATTCATTCATGTCATTTTTAAGAAACTAACACTCTAGTTTCAGCATCTTAATTTTGAAGGTTTGCTGCCTTTAATGTGATAGTAAATTGATTTTAAATTTAAACAGGCATGTTTCATTATTTTTGATATTTTATAGACCAAAAGGTAATTAAAAAAATAATGAAAATTTGTCCGGGGCTAGTTGCAGCCCTTTTGGAAATGTTAAAAAAAAAGATAAACATTTGTTTTAATCTGCTGGCTGAGTTTTTATCAAACCATGTGTTTAAATTCACAGAACACATGCTAAAAACATAAATTGTAGCCAAGAAGGTTTTGAAAAATGTTGGCAACTACAAATGCAGTGTTATACTGCACTACATGCCACAGTGTTGGAATGGAATATTTTCCTATAAACTAAGTGCTAGCACTATAGTGCAACATTTAAGTGCTGTTTTTCAAGATTTTGTCAGTTGTTGTGCTGGTTGTTTTTTCCCTTAATGTAGTAATGTGTGCCAGTGAAAATGTAACTCTGAGTTAGACAGAGAGAAAGGGAGAGAGATCTAGAGAAAGAAAGTAAGAGAGAGAGAGAGAGAGAGAGAGAGAGAGAGAGAGAGAGCATGTAAAACACAGAGTGCCAACAACAATCTGTCATCAAGATTCCTCCTTAGATTACAGCAGCATACTGCCTCCCAAATCTCACACACACACACACACACACACACGCACACAACCGATTTTCCACGTCTGAGTAGCAGTTTCATAAACAGTGCGGTTTGTGTTTCTTACATTAATCTAACCAAAACATCTCTACACACATAATTTATCACAGAGAGGGACGGAGAGAGTTTGTATTCGGATGGGTTTCGGAGCCTTTGGAAAGTGTGTTTACTGGCTGATGTAGCTGTGATGGGACTTATGTTACAGATACAGAGATATTACAGCTATTAGTGCAAAGTAAAGTGCAGATTAACACCGGTACGGTCTAGTTGGTGATAATGGAGTGACAGTAGTTGTAGTGTAGAGTAACGTCTGCTCTGTAATTAGAGTTCTTTAATGGTTACCTCACTGATTATGTCATCAGTATGTAGTTTTTTATTTAATGCTATGTTATGTAGTACAGAAATAATGTAGGCTACATATTTTCTTTGTTTTGTTTAGGTTGAACATACATATTCTTTATTCTGGAACTTTTATGTGATACAGCTGTATAAACTACTGCTGCAGATAGTATTACTAGCACAAGCACTGCAACTACTTCTACTACTGCTACTATTGGAATTACATTACTGTTTACTACAAGTAGTACTGCTACAAGTGCTGTTACTTCTTCTGTTGCTGCTACTGCTACCACACATACTCCCACTGGTACTGTTGCTCCTACTGCTACTACCACTATTGGTACTACTGCTGCTACTAAAACAACTACTTTAAGTAGGCTAAGTAGTAGTGCTACTACTACTGGTACCACTACTGCTGTTATTATTTATTGCCACTATACTACTATTGCTATTGCTTTTACTTCTGCACCGGCAATTACTGCTGCCACTACTACAACTGGCACAACTGATACTACAAGGCCTACTACTGCCAACACTACTAGTATTACTACTGCTACTACGACTGCAACTGTTATTACTGCTGCTGCTACTACCACTATTGGTACTAGTACTGCTAAACTGCTACTACTACTACTTCTTCTGCTACTACTGGCACAACTGATACTACTGGGTCTGCTACCTCTACCACTGCTGGCACTGCTGCTATGGGTAACACTACTAGTACTGCAACAACTACTCCTATTACTACTCCTACTATTTCATTCATTGTAATGGAGGAATATGTCACCAAGCTACATTAGGCTTTGGCTACAGGGACAGTACTTGTAAGTGGTATAAATTCCTTGTTGCTTTTGGTTTTTATGTGACATTTGTTGATAAAAATGGGAATACTTTTTAAACACATTATTTGTATGTGTGCATGCACAGGTGGGCGAGATAAAAGAGGAGGACCAATCCTGACATTTCCTGCCAGGAGTAACCACGACCGAATAAAACAGGAAGACCTGAGGAGGCTGGTAACCTACCTGTCTACTGTTCCCAGGTACACATTCCACACAAACAGACACACACAGACGAGTGGCGTCTGGATGAGATTTTTTTCACATTTAGGTATTATATTAACTGTGTTGCCTATTTATTACCCTTCTTATTCCGAACTGTGCTTCAGGACAATGACGTTTGGTGAACTGGACTTAACTATGACAGATTAGTAGCTGGAAGAAGTGGAGGGTGAAGTGCATGTGGAGTGCTTCAGTGCTGTCCACGCTGCAGAATCAAACGCCCCTTTCTTCTTTGTCACAGCAGCAGACTGAAAGCAGCATTTGATTTGCATCAGCATGAAAGCTGCAGTGTTTGCAGCAGACAGCAGCGAGTCTGTCACACTTAACTTCAAGTCCATTTATTCCTGCTGCCCCTCATCACAGTCTGAGGATGCTGTCAGGAATGAGCTGGTCCAGAGAAAACGGATCAATAATCGGTCCCTGTGAATAGTCTCCAAATAGGTCCCTTTGTAAAACATATCTGGCTAAACAATAGAACAATATCTCCAGCACTGTATATCTGACATAACTTATGACCATTTTCTAAAGCATGATCATATGACACTGGATGGATTTTCTACCTTCAGGTCCGTAGAAAATCAACGGAAAAGAATAAAAATCACCAGAGACTTGAAACTTGAAACTCTAGCATAGATAATGCTTCCAATAATCTAACCAAAGTAACATTTTGTGGCTTTAAACTTTATTTAAAAAGATTATCATCGTGGTACAGTGCAGCTGCAACCAGGAAGCCTTTTAAACCTCCTTTGTGGTGCATTCAAGGACATTCATACATCATGCATTGATAGTCATTGATTGATTAGCTGTGCTGTAAGAGAATCAAAACAAAATGCTAAATAAATCATTCAATATGAATTTGTAAAGCAAAAGGAAGCTTTCTGTTAGCTGACTAAATTATTAGATTGCAGAGTGTCCTTGAATGCAACAACAGGGGGAGTTTTCGGTCTGTCCTTGCAACTGCAATTTACCTGGCTGACTAGAACACCAAACTAGCCCAAAGTATGTATTATCATTTGATCCCTATCAGCCCCGCTCTGATTCCTCTTGCTAATCGAGCTGCTGTTTCCATGGTGACGAGTGGAGTTTGTGCTTCCCCGAGGCAGATTATAATGGATGTGCTTTTGTTGAATTTATATTAATAGAAGCTGCGTGTGAGTGGAGGTGATTTCAGTAAATTTTTACTCTCCTCATCAGCAGCAGCTGAATGTAAGGGCCATTAGCCTCCAGCATACAAAGCTAGCTGCACTGGTTTCAGGGCAGCTTCCAAATATCTGTTTCCAAAGTGTTGTCCTATCAAATGTTCAGTGAATGTGAAACTTTCTTAAACCTAAACTTTTTTTTCTTTTTGCATATTTAAAGATACAGTGTGTCTTTAATATACTTCATACAAACCACATGTAGATTATGATGCAACGAGCACAGTCAAATTACCATCTGGAGGGCATTCTGGTGTCTTCTTATTGCATTTATTTATGTGGCCCAAATATGAATTTCAATTCTTGCTTTCAGGGCAAGAACACATTTGATCTGTAATACATGTTAACAAAATGATCACTGAATTCATTTGGTGAAGTGATGTATAATGTATGACATTTATCTTGCATCGAGTTTTAAAGGAATAGCACCAAACATTCGAGTTGCACTGAGTAAATCGTCTTTGTCTTCTGATCAGTCAAACACAGCATTACTACTATACTGCTTCTGTGCCCATTCGATCTTATTTGAGCTATTTTGACATGTGCAGTACTTTTTCTTTCTTATCACCCGTACATCATTAGCACATGGCTGTGCATTTGTCTTTGTTTCTGACTGACATTTATTGTCACTTCACTAATACATTTACTTAAGTGTGACCTACAAAATCTCACACACCACTGATGTGATTAATTAAAAAATGGGATTTGCAATTATGCGTCTCACTACCACACTCTGTCTGGTGGCTGGTGAGGAAACTACAGCTGAGACTGCGTATTCATATGTTCCTGATTGTTATCAGATTTCAAGCTATGCTGCCATTTAACAAAAACATATTTTATTGTCTCTCTCCTGTCTGCCATCTTCTACATATCAGCGAGGATGTGTGCAAACGGGGTTTTACCGTCATCATCGACATGCGTGGTTCTAAGTGGGAACTGATCAAGCCTCTGCTGAAGACACTGCAGGAGTTTTTCCCGGCTGAGATCTGCGTGGCGCTCATCATCAAACCGGACAACTTCTGGCAGAAACAGAAGACCAACTTCGGCAGCGCAAAGTTCTCCTTTGAGGTCAGTGAGCTTCCTCGTTTTCTTTGAGTATGAGTGTTTAATCCCCAACGTAAGTCTCAGTTCAGATTCCATGTTTCTAAACAGCAAATAATTATGTTCACATTAACCATATGTTTTCTTCACTGTGGAAGGATTGTGACCTAGCGCAGGAAGTTTTATTAAAGACGTTTTATTAAAAATAAGACAAAATGATATTAAAAGGAAAGATAATCCTATACACAAACTCAATTAATAAAGCCCCATAAATTACACAAACAATAAATAAAAATAAAATGTACATAATAATTTTCAATTAATAATTTATAACATTTAATTTTGGTCCCATAAAATAAATCTGAGTAAGTTTAGCAGCCAGCATTATAACTTAACGTTAGCTGTTTGGTTATGTATTCTGTCAATGGGTTAGCCCCATTTTGCACTCAATAGTTTTGGAAGACAAAAAAAAAAATGTTACATTAATTAATTAATGTTTATTTTCTGGAAAATAGATAATTTCTGTCTACCTTAAACAGCTAATGTTGGCTAAAGCTGTTCAGGTTAGCTAACGGTACACTTTAGCAGGTACAACAGTTTATTCCAGGTTAGCTAAAAGTTCAGTTTTGTGGGTTAAACTGTTTGGTTTGGGTTAATGCTAGCATATGACTTTAGCAGATAGAAGGTTTTGTTTTAGGTGAGTGAATTGTTGAGACAGGCACATAAAATGGTTTGGTTCAAGGTAGCTAACATAGCAGTTCAGGAGATAAAACTGTCGGGCTAAGGTAGCAGTGAGGTTTAATGTTAGTTAGACAAAGTTTCTATTTAGCAGCTCATACTGTTTGGTTGAGGTTAGTTAGAGGCTAAGTTCAGAAGATTGGTTAAAAGTATTTGGTTCAGGTTAGCTCATTTTTCAGTGTAGCAGAGAGCTACCACTGTTTGGTTCAGGTTAGCTTAAGGCTTACTTTAGCAGGTGAAGCTGTCTGGTTACTGTTAGATTACGCTTAGCTCAATGAAGTTGGAATGGCCAGAATAATTTATATCTCTATATATAGAGAGCATATATCTAATTTTACTCCAATTTTATAACATTTTACACGGCAGACAGCAAGCTGAAAATGTTTTCTTCTGTCTGGTTTGGATTAGCTAACAGTTTAGTTTAGCAGCTGAAAGATAGATTTTGAATGATTGAAGACAGTAGCAGCAGTCTGCTCTCCATTCTGAAAAAAACATTCAGCCCAAATTTAAGTATTAACGTTAACTGATGGACTTGCTCATCTGATAAAGTGCCATGCTGCTAAGCATTAGGGAAGCACATGTGAGCCTCTTTTATAAACTCAGTCACACAGATTTGTAGTTCATGATTTTAATGTAGAATACCAGTTGTTTATTGCTTTCTTCCCATGCCATTTAAAAAAATGAAATGCATGATTACTGGGTCAATCATCAAAATTGAGTCCCAAGCCTTGCCATTTTCTAGATTTTACCATACTGGATATACAGGTGGTATTTATTTGTTTTCTTACTGTGTAAATCAGACCTGCATGGTGTCACTGGAACATATGGCACAAACCTGGATGATTCCTCACTGCTAAAAACAAGCATTTTGATATTCCTCATGCATTTCTGTTTGTGTGTACCAGACCAGCATGGTGTCCGTTGAAGGTCTGGCCAAACTGGTGGATCCCTCCCAGCTGACGGACGACTTTGAAGGCTCTCTGGACTACAACCATGAGGAGTGGATGGAGCTTAGGGTCTCTCTGGAGGAGTTCATGTCCAACGCTGTTCACCTGTTGTCCAGACTGGAGGACCTGCAGGTGGGGCATGGACACACAGGCAGATGACTGAATGGTCGATCAAGGAAAAGAAGTTTTAAAAGCATTGAAGAAATGAGTCATTCCAAAATGAAAAAGTTGTACTGTGTGTGTTGCAGGAGACTCTGTCCAAGAAGGAGTTTCCTGCAGATGTGGAGGGATCTCGTCGGTTGATAGAGGAGCACACACAGCTGAAGAAAAAGGTGGGAGAGCTACTGTCTGATACACACTGTCCAAACATCTAAAGACATTAGCAGACGTCTGTGTTAAGCATCATCAGCACAGACAACTTTAAATCATGTTAATCTGCTTAAGTCATTTTTTATACTGTCCTCCTCTCCTGTAGGTGCTGAAGGCTCCAGTGGAAGAGTTGGACCGGGAAGGCCAGAGGTTGCTGCAGTGTATCCGATCTAGTGATGGTTTTTCAGGGAGGAACTGCATCTCAGGCTCTGCTGACTTCCAGAGCCTGGTGCCCAAGGTAAGTCACACATTCCTGGGAAGTTCACTGCAGCTTGGAATATAGCCGGCTTATGAGAATGTCATCTCTTGAAAAATCAAGTTTATCCACGATACAGTAGAGAAAAGGGCTTTCAAACAGGACCACGGAGAAACAACACAAAGACGAAAATGAAGTGATTCATTATCGCTTTCTGATGCACATAGGAACAAAAGCACACTCATAACGCATGACAGACATCAGAGTTGTTATGACAAAACAGGCAAAAAAGAGAAAAAAGAAAAAGAGGAAGAGCAGAGTCAGTCTGCATAACATAAACAACCACTAGGAAAATACTTGCAAAATGTCAAGTATTATCCTCCTGTGCAGAGCAACGTGGAGTTAAGAATAAAGTGCTAAAACAGTACAAACTATAGTCGCCGTACATCCTCTTTACTATACTCGATCTGCAGATGCTTTCTGGCCTGAGACCACTGACTGTTCACATATTCACACACATACATTCATTACATTTCACTGTGCTTGTACCTTATATGATTACATGTGACGAATAAACTTGTTCGACTGCTCAGAATTTTAAAAGAAAAGCTGAGATTTATTCTCTCCAGGAAATCTAGCAGTAAATACCAAACATATAAACTGTATATCAGAATCAGAATGACCTTTATTTCCAAGTAGATTTTCACATAGAAGGAATCTGCCTTGTATATTGGTGCATAACTATGAAACAGAAAAACATAAATAAAGACAACAAGTACTGCAAGTCAAGAAGCATAGATAGAAAAATGGAAACGTAACAGCAATATATGAAAAAATGTTATATTGTGAGTTGTTGTTGCTGTTGAAAGAACACTGAGTCTTATTGTGCTGGTTGTTTTCATAAAGCATTTATATTGAGATTTATAATGAGGCCTGAAAGATAACTAATCTTGTTTATTGGTCTCAAAGTGCTTTGAAATTGAAATTAAAGATAAATAAATAAAGACAAAATAAATTAAACACTAAGCTAGAAATTAAAAGTAGTGCAAACAGGGCACAATGCAATGCCTTCATTAAAACCCAGTTAAAAGTAAAACTGTGTTTTTAAGGAGCTTAAAAATGAGCTGAGATCCTGCCGGTCACGTTTAGACTATTTACAGAAGGGGTCTCAAACTCAAATTGGCTTTGGGCCACTGCCGGTATTGATTGGTATTATTGATTTTACTTTAATTGAAAATAAAGGGTTAGTTTAAATTGACATTTAAATTGAAACAACTAAGGATAAAAAGAAATTCTGTTATTATACTACTATACTATCAAGTCAGGGGCCAGAGAGAGGGGAATGGACGGCAGTTTGAGATCCATGATTTTGAGTTATGCCAGGGAAAACTTGTACACAACCCACTGTTCAGCACTGTCTGGGACAGAAAAGGACAGATGTGATGAAATGTAAAAAGTAACTGAGCGCCTTAAAAACCAGCAACACACATATGTCATTCATTTGTAAAGAGAACAAAAACTGTTAATCTGCATCCAGATTAGCCAAACAAAAGTTGGAGGTGGTTTGAATGCACACCAAACCAATGAATGACAGACATGAGTGGCTTTACGTGATGTGAACTGACACAGAAATGTAGTTTTTGTTCAAGTTAAATTTGTTTAAACTTGAGCAGGAAATTGGCATGAAATTACACATTACGCTTTGGGTTTTCCACCAAACACTGGAAACATCAAACTGGAGGATAAAATATGCAGTAGATGTTATATTTTGGGACCACAACCGTCCAGCCACCAACCACGGCAGGTTTTTACTGCTTATTCTTAAAGAAAACAATCAAACCTCTTATCTGTCTAACCAGTGGACCTCAGCTCCAAATGGATAAGACATCGTCAAACACCATCTGACAATTCTTAATTCTTGCTTTTTTCCCAGGTTGCCAGTCTGTTGGATAAGCTCCACTCCACAAGACAGCATCTTCATCAGATGTGGCACGTCAGGAAGCTGAAGCTGGACCAGTGCTTCCAGCTCCGCCTCTTCGAACAGGATGCCGAGAAGGTGAGCCTGATGTCACACCAAACAGAGAAAATGCAGGACACATGACAAGTTGATCAAAAGAATGTTTTAGTTTGATACAAAGTCACATAAAGTGCAGTAAAGGTCCCGCAGTAGGTGTATTATGTCTGCATTATTCAGACACCCAGCAGGCACCCGTTAGCCACCAAATATTGGTGCTTTGTTGTTAATGGATCAGCCATTCTGTTCACTGAGTCATCACATCGACATGAGAATGTGGAACCTGAAAAAAGGTTCAGAAGCTAAAAAAGGACATTTGCAAACAATTTGTCAACAAAAATAAGAGCTGTCACAATATCAGATTTTCACATGATTATCTTGGCCACGATAACAATATTATCACGATATAGAGAATAAAATACTGTAAGTCAAATTCATCTTAAATTTTTATTGTGTTTATTGCTATATTATATCCAAATTGAATATAATAATAGGATTTTTAGTTTGGGATTACAGGGTAGAGGCACATCCAGTATTTCCTCTTCATTTCCATCTTCACCTCCGTCCAGGATTTGAACTTCATCACATCCCAGTCTCCGTAAATCCCTCCGGAAACTTCCTCCGTGGTCTAAATAAATTCGCCTGTGCTGTTTATCTAAACAGAGGATCACATTTAGCAGTTCATCCAGTGGAAAATCGGCCAGCGTTGCCTCGCTAACCCGAGCTAAGCGATTAGCTGTAGTTGGGAGTGAATGTTTGGATTCCATTCATCATTAACATACCAGCCTGTCCAAGACATCACGCACAGCTATTTCCACTTCATGCCAAACTGCTATATAAAGAAAGGTTGCACTCTCTCATGTGAAGGGGTCGTTATGTAAGGAACACAGGTAATTGCAACCTCTGAAATGCTTTTATTTTGTAAACGTCACAACATAGCTAAAAGAAATACCAGTACAGCATTGAAACACAACAGAAATTCATACATACATCACTGATTACGGCAAACTGATGCCTGGGATTGCTGACATCTGGAAACCTAATTAATACTAATATATCCTGGTAAAAAGCTTAGAGTTTGAAAAATGTGCGTCTGTAAAAACACCAGTTATTATGGTAATGGTACTGTATGATGAGGTCATGTAAGTGGATCCAGAATGACTGAACCATGTCGACCTGTAGCCCTGCCTCCTGCTAACAGGGTTGCAAGCATTTGGTAGTATCCTAAGTGTTGTTGATGGGATACCCACACACATACACACACAGATGGGCGTCAGCTGACTTCTTAGTTCTTCCACACAGAAATCCACATGCTGGAGCAGTAAATATTTACTGTAAAGCAAACAGAGAAAAAATAAAACAGTTTTGTCCACATCAGCATTGCCATGCTGAGGAACTGCGGGGGAGTGCGGACGAGTTTACACTGTGGGAAACACTCAGCGCTCGCAGTCGAGCCAGGGAAACAGTCAGACCTGACGAGGTGTTCCTTCTGTGGAAATCACAGCTTAGAGGAATGACTGTGTAGATGATGGGGTCACCATGGTAACCACTCGGCAGCGCAACTCGGCCTCCATCTGTCCGCAAGGATTGATTAAGATGGAGAAGCAACCTTGAAGGTTGTCCTGGCCTATTAGGCTTTACGCTGATCAGCTGGTACAGCAGAAGCCAGCGAGGGAAACATGACTTTCATGTTTTCAAAGGAATATTCCTTTGTTTTTTTACAGCCTGGCTCTTGTTTATGCCAGTTTGGCCACAGTTATGGTAACCTTTTACTCACCAACTTTAATTGCAGACACATAAGATTAGTCAGGGCAGCTGCTTGAAAAAGCATGTGTGAAAGTTCATTCTTGATCTTGGAAACAGTAGCTTGACAAAGAAATCTGAACTCAGGTCCAATTGCAAGCTTTTCCAGAGCTTTCAACCCCAAAAAGCTATGAGTGAAACAACGTTTTTTTGGATTAAAAATTATAAATGGATAAAATGGTCTTTTACATGTACTCTCATGGCAGATGGTATCTATTTGTTCCTGTCACAATTGTGGATGTTGAAAAGTGGTAAGCAAGGATTTGAACCCAGATGCAGACTGGCAGAGCAGGTTAGGGAGGAGTTTAATAACAAAAATGTGTTCAAACATAAACTTACAAGTCCAAATAGCAGTAGTCCGAAACAATAGATCAAAGTAAATAAAGCCAAATCCAATATTCAATAAACCAGAAAGGAAATCCAAAAAGAGAGGAAGAAGTTCATACAAACAGGAGGAAACGCGGGGGAGCAGGCTATAGAGCCATTTCCAAATCGGATTTTGCACACACAGATTCTGAAAAAACATTTGCTGATTCCCATACACATTCACAAATCATAGTGCATATTTACAGATTCTTTTACACAATAACAAATCTGATTACGCACACATGGATTGATATACAGTTATACAACTCTCCAATAGTTTTGCTACAATAACAGCTCCATGGAAAGCACATGTGAACAAGGACGAACTGGCACAGACTAACTGTCACACAGGCAATATATACTTTAGGGGAGGGGGAAACTAATCAAAATCAAAACAGTCAGAAACAGCAGGAAAAAGACAAGACACAAGACGAGTAAAACTACAAAATAAAACAGGAAATAACCAAAGAAAAACCCCAAACCATAACAGTTCTTAATGTGACTTTCAGTCGCTCACAGTGATACAGATAAAGAATGTGTGGAATACATTAGTTTGCAATGTTATTAATGTAGCTGTGGTGTGTGTGTGTGTGTGTGTGTGTGTGTGTTCGGGCAGATGTTTGACTGGATCATCCACAACAAGGAAGTGTTCCTGCAGAGTCACACGGAGATTGGCCGAAGTTACCAACATGCTGTGGAGCTGCAGACTCAACACAATCACTTCGCCATGAACTCCATGGTACCTAACGTCATTAGAACCATAATTCTCATATGACGTCATTGCAGATCACTGTGAGATAAGAAGAGCTAAGAAGAGGTTCCCAGCACAGATAACAAACACACAGTCAGGCTTTGTGGTAGTTAAGCCACTTATCTGCTTTAAAGGTCTAGTGTGTAACATTTAGGAGGATCTAAGAGGATCTAGGAGGACCTTAGAATGAGCCTTGGAATGAAACGTGTATGTCTACAGAGGGAATGGGTCCTCTTCTAGAGAGTTTGCCTTGTTCCTACAGTAACCCAGAACAGAAAAACCAGACACTGGCTCTAGGGCCTTTCATGTTTCATAGCCACCGTAATTTCTCCTGCAGCTTTACCGCTACATGCTGCTGAACCCTACACACTGTCTTCTAAGGTTTAACTTTTCATTGTTAACTACCCTCAGAATATAGTAACGTAGTTAAGTTGGCATAGGTTACCTTAGTTTATCTTAACTTAGTACAACTGTTTCAAAAGTCAGTCAGAAGAAATCATTATAATTTAACTAAAACACTACTGCAGCAGAGAAAACACACACACACTGGTATGGTTGTATGGTATTTGCAACTTGCAGCCATTTAAATACAGCTCATCCTGTAATAAAAACAAAAACATGACGATTCCTATATTCAGGGATTATACACTGATGAAAACAACCGATAAATATTAGATTCCATTTCTAATAGTAGATGTTTCACTGGACCTTTAAATAAAAAATACACTTCTACATCTCTTGAAGTAGGATTCAGATCATTCTCAGTTAAGTTGAGTTTTGTACAGAACAGTACAATATAAATAATGTATTTTTACATTTTTAAGTCATTTTAATTTTTTATAGAAACAATTAGCTAACAGCATTATTTATACAGATATGAGTGTCTCGACGCTGTATTTTATGTAAAATAGTAACAATAATTAAATCCAGTTGTCATTACTGATAACTGGTTACCAACACCATTTTGTTCATCTTTTTTTCTTCTTCCCAGAATGCCTATGTAAATATCAACAGAATCATGTCAGTGGCAAGCCGCCTGGCAGAAGCCGGTCACTACGCCTCCACGCAGATAAAACAGATCTCAGGTCAGCTGGATCAGGACTGGAAAAGTTTTGCTGCTGCACTTGACGAGCGCTCCACCATCCTCGCCATGTCGTCCGTCTTTCACCAGAAGGCTGAACAGGTGAGATCAATAAATCTGTCTTTGAGCAGAGCTCGGCTTCTGAACAAATGTGTGGAAGCACGTCGGCCATGTTTGTGGAAAAAGAGTCAATACCCCTCCTGATGTAAGGACTTCCCCTTCCTCTTCTCTCTCATTAGAGGAAAAGCTGTTCCATTTACTGTGAGACTGCTGTTGCTTGGTTGCTGATCTGGTAACTATCTAATGTAGGAATGTCTCTGCAGCGGACACGTGTCCAGAATGTAAAATGTAAATGGGACATTTTTAGTGTCTGATTATATTTAATAGATCAAACTGCTCTACTGCTGATTCTTGGAAGGTTGACATGGCAACAGATGGGACTTGTTTGATTCCTGCTGGGCCCTTGACATTAGCTACAAGTGTACATTTGAGAGAGCGGGAGATGAAAGACAAGAGGAAAGAGGGAGAGAGAGAGCGGTGGAGGCAGAGGAGGGATGGCTGAGACTGAGAGAGAGCCTAATGAAAAACAGAAACAAAAAAGTGTCAGGATGAAAGATGAAACACAAGATGTGGAAAGAGAGACAAGTGAAATAAAATTGGCAAGACTACAGATAGACTAAACGTTGGGAAAGTGTTAAAATGCGAGAGATTTAGAGAGAGAGAAGTAAAGGCTGTCTTCATTTTGCAGCCGCATTAAACGACAGGGTGGAAGCAAATAAAGAATGGACAGAGCTGTTAGTTAGATCAGCAGCTGTAATGTGAATGTGTCTGTTTCACTTCTTCAGTTCCTGTCCGAGGTGGAGGCCTGGTGTAAAGTCTGCAGTGAGGGAGGGTTACCGTCTGAGATGCAGGAGCTGGAGCTCGCCATCCACCGCCACCAGAGCCTATACGAGCAGGTCACCCAGGCTTATACTGAGGTAAACCAACAGTAACTGAAGTCTACTGATAAATATCCACTGCCACCACTGCCTGTATGGAGAGGTTGAATTATACCCCAGTCAAAATGATATTTGACATGCTGGCACTGTGCTGTGGGCTGTAGCATCTGTGTTACTACCTTTTGGCTTCTAAATTGATTATTATTATTATTGGCACCACTTTGTTCCATTGTCTCATGTTCTGTCTTTGCTTACAAAACATTGCTTTGTCCACTGTTCTCCATTATAAATGTGTATTTTCCACCATGCTTCAGTGTGCACAGGATGTCTGCAGGGTCTGACAAAGCTTAAAATCCAATAATCTGAAGTTAAAATGTCTTAATGTAATGTAACAGATCTTATTTATTATTATCTGTAACAGCTACAAAACAAAACTGACATGGAACCAATACTTATTATACATATTTTCCTTCATATCTTTTTTCTTTTTGCCAGTATGGAAAAAAGGTCTTAAATTGCATTCATAATGGTGTTAAAAAGTCTTAAATGTAACGTGTTGAAACCTGCAGAAACTCTTTTGACAGTGACAGTCACAGCAATACTATTCTTGTTTGTACTACTGTGCATGCCCTGGAATACATAGGAAAGGCAGTGTATAGCACATTCCATACACCAGGGCAATTCAATTAGCTTTATCAGGGTAATAAAAATACAGCAAAGACTGCAAAGATTTCCCACATTTTAATTACATTTTAAACAAAAATGAAGGCCATTTACAAGTTAAACTAAGAAGATATGTCTTGTGCCATTACTGGGTGGAGTAGGCAGCGTAAAATAGTAGTAGTAATAGAGTAGGGGCTTGTCTAATATCAACTGAGTGGCTATTCTAGGTCTGTGTTGCATGATAGCAGAATGCTGCTTCACCATGTCTTGTTCTGACTCTTGGGAGTCTGAGCTTTGGATGGTCCCTGAACTGCAAAACAAAACATTTGAGCTTTTAGGACATCAGAAATGTGGTAAAAAGTAGGCCTTAGACTGTAAACCCTGAAAACTGTTCACTTTGTTAACAAACTATGTAATGTAGAGTTACAGTTGATGAAATGGTAGTGTTTGTAAAACTGGTGTCTTGGAAATTGTTCATAAAAAGTACTATACCCCTCAGGGAGGACTGTGGACTCCAGAGACTCTCCTTTAGGTGCTGTTAGTGCTGCTCTTTGACAGCTCAGTGATGCTAGCTGTGATGACAGGAGGTGTTGGTCAGCTGCTGCACCACCGCCGTCCAGATCTGCCGTCTAAAAACCCTGCGTGTTTCACTATATTTAGTCTGGGAACGCTCCCGATCTTCGCTCTTTGCTGCAGTCTGGCGTTTTATCTTTGGACGGGCTGTTGGAGTGTTAGCTCAATTTATACTTATCTGTGAAAAGATAGTCCATATACACACGCACACACACACACACACACATAAAGCTCTGGGCAGAGGTTCAGGCTGAGGCGGTTTGGCTTGGCAGGCTATGACAGCATTGTTTCTTGTGGGAGCACTGCAAAAAGTGAAACGCTCTGAGACTGCAGAGTTTTTTAAAAAATCTTTTGCTTTTGACTTGATGCATTCAAGTTCATTTAATGCGGTGAAAGCGCACGAGTTCCTTTTTAGGGTTCCAGAAAAGATATACCCATTTACACCCAGAAAATGGGTAAAGATGAATGACTTCATGTTCTGTGAAATCCTGTGGCTATAGACATCTTTGAATGATTAAAAGCAGAGAAGATGAAGACGCAGGTGTTTCTTCCGTGTGTGAAGCCGAAGCTGCTCTTTGCTTGGTTGCTTTAAATGAGACAAAAAACTCTGTCTGTAAACTCTGCAGACTGTTTCATCACTGCTTCAAAAGAACAAACTCCTTAATGCAGATTGGTGTTTTACCTCCTGATCAAGGCAATTTGGCCTTGAATCATTTTGTTAAAAATACTTTTTAGCTTGTTTCCCTGTGCATCTCATTATGTAAATGTTTTCATAGCAGTGCCAGTCCTGCAGTATCCAGTTAAACTTCTGGAAACGTTCCTTCTCAAATAAAAGCCGCAGTGCTAAAACAATTAGTAGATTAGCTGTCAGACAGTACAAGTACACATGGACCAGCCCACAACTACTGTAAGAACCATCACTCTAACAGTATCTTGAGAGTTCATTATCATTCTGTTTTAAATGGTCTTCACTGATAAAAAACACACGCAAGGCAAGGCACATTTTTTTGTATAGCACCCTTCAGCAACAAGGCAATTCAGCATGCTTTACATGAGACATAAAGGGATTAAGACAGGATATAAAAGAAACGAGTTGATATAAAAAGATACACAGGGCCATTTCTTGCAGAGAGGAAGCAGGAGTCACTGCTTGTGTGCGACACAGAGGTTTCAGTGGTGTGTTTCCATGTGTAATTTAGCAATTAGCAGTAGGAAGTAAAATGCTTTTTTTCAAAAGTATATATTTGTTCTGGAGAGGAGAGAGAACAAAGAGAGGAGAGAAGAGGGAGACTGAGCGCGGAAGAAGCAGGAAATGCTTAAACACTAAAGAATCAATTCCGTCCAATTTGAATTACTCTGTCTGTCTATCTTTGTAGCCTTTCTAATCCCTCTGCTCTCTCCCTCCTACCTGTCTGTGTTTTCCAGGTGAGTCAGGATGGTAAAGCGCTATTGGACGTCCTCCAGAGGCCTCTGAGTCCCGGCAACTCCGATTCGCTGACAGCCACTGCCAATTACTCCAAAGCGGTCAGTGCCATTATGTTCCTCTGTGCCAGCCAATTAGAAGACAATATAATATCATGAATTCAGAACGTCACATTGTAGTTAACATTTGTGTTATTTCGCAGGTTCACTGCATCCTGGACGTGGTTCATGAGGTCCTCCACCATCAGCGACGTCTCGAAAATATTTGGCAGCATCGAAAGGTCCGACTGCACCAGAGACTGCAGCTGTGTGTGTTCCAGCAAGATGTCCAGCAGGTACACACACACACAGACACACACATAGCATACAGCAAACAAGTGAAATGAAAACATGAGGACTGTGTTAGTGAGAGAGAAGAGTGAGATAATATTGTTCCCATTAGATGTTTTTCACCAAAATGCCAGCTTTTAAGGAACTGAGAAAAACAACATCCTAACTTTTTATTGCAGTTTTGAGTTTACTGAAATGGGTCAGAGAAGTTTGTCAAACCACAGTGGGGCATGTAATCTTGTATGTAAGCATGTAATCAAGTGAACAGACAGCCGCCGTGTGTGTGTGTGTGCTTAGCAGAACAGATGAGGATCACCACAACATGTCCATGCATCTCTGCTGTCTTCTCGTCCCGGCTTAACGGCGTGTAATGGGAAAATTCCTGAGATAAAACGCTCAGATCGGATCTCAGCTCCACTGGTACCGCTGCTCGTATTTCACAGACGAGCAGACTATGTGGTTTTGGAAAGGTGTCAGCATAGATTCCTGGAGGTTTTAGAGATATTCTGGGGCTCAAAATTTAATATCACAGCAATATTTTAGTGGAAGGGTGTTTTTGACCAGCTGAGTGAATGTCATCAGGGGGGTGAGGAGGAGGAGGTCTTGTGTTTTATTTTACTTTCTTTAATGTGATTGTGGGTCTGACAGTAATGCACTAGGAATGAGGTACAGCCAGATACCACTGGCATTATGAAACCTCTGGAATCTCAGTCCACATGTGGACTTGTTTCAAATGATGAACATAAAGTACAAGGACAGTGTTGCTCAACAGCTATGCAAATACACTAACACACATGAGATACAACCTGTTGAAAGTAGTGAAACAAAATAAGGATATTAGAGAAATCGATAAATGACGTCTTTTAAAGTTCCCCTCCAGTAAAAAAAAGTCAGTGTGTGTTCTTGTTCCTACAGTGTGCTGTTTGAATGCTGTCTGTGCAGACTTTGACACAAAACGCATCCGACTCACATTATTGTTCCAAGCAGATATTTGTATATATGTATTAATGAATGTCTGGAAGAGATCTTTAATCTGTGAAACAATCAGGTTCGTCTTGCTCCTCCTAGTCCCCCTAATGGCATTTGCAAGAATCCACCTGAACTAAAACAACCAACATTACATCATATAAACTGATCATATGTTTCAATCTGCACAGTGTAGTTTACAGTACAATCAAACAAAATCAAAATATCCCTGAAATGAAGCATTAAAATAAAGTAAAGCACACTGGAGTAACCTTAAAACTGCACTTAAGTTTATACTTGGTTACATGGCAATAACTACTTGTAGCAGTAGCAGTAGAAGAGTATAATACAGTAGCCAAGGTTAACCAGAAAATGCAGAATCTCAATTCTCACTCCACACTGCTGCTATCACCATGGTAACCTAAATATTACTTTGTGCTTGTATAGAGTTGTGAGGTGGGAGGGGCGCCTGGTTTTGATTCAATTTTCAATCCAGCTTTATTTATATAGCACCAAATCATAACAGAGGTCATCTCAGGACACTATAGAACAGGTCTGGACTGAACTCCATGTTATGAACAGAGACCCAACAATTCCCACTGTGTTCCCATTTTAATATTTCATTTGAACAATACCTTAAATGGTACCTAACATAGAATCACAGTACTGCCCTGGATAATGTAACAATCCTATGTGGTTAAGGTTTGTTGTTGTTGAACTCACCCAAAATTTACCCAGAAATGAAAACAGAACAGATATACCCTGTCGATTTTGCAATCACTTTGCTTAACAGCATAATCTTTAGCTCCAATCTTTCTCTATTTGGATTGGCATTTTCTTGATGAAATGTATCTTGGGAGTCATAGTTCTTCTAGAACTGAAGTTTTTATGTACAGACTTGTACCATCAACTTTTTATCAAACAATCAGATATTTTATAGTGCAATTGGTAATCTTTTGTAATGAATACTGATGCAAGCCTTTTTTCCCACACAGACACACACACATATGCACACATAAAAACAACAGCACATTGAATTCATTTAAAACAGGTCCTTTGTAACTGAAGTCATCATGTATGTACTGTATAGAAATGAATGGGCCTGGGGAGAGAGAAGTAGGGCATCAGGCGGACTACAAATGCTCTGAGTATGGGCGCCATGGAAACATTTATATGTGACCCAAGAGAGAGTGTGAGAGAGTGTTTAAGAGAGGTAAAAAGACAAGGAGAGAGAGGGAGAAAAAAAAAAGTGAGTGAAGAAGAGATCATATCAGTAGGTTATAAATTCAAAAAAAACAAAGCTTTGCCAACTGCACTCGTCATGCATCAGTTTCTATGAGACCCCAGAGAGAGACACAGGGACCCACAGAGGATGAGACACATACATAGAAAGTGAGAAAAGGAGCAAGTGAGAGAGTAAGCTCATACCAATAGTCTGTAAATCACTGAAAACAGGGCTATTCCAACCAGAGTTGTAATGCGGGAGGATATATGTGACCCCAGAGAGGAAGAGAGAGAGATGGAGAAGTAAAGGCTGGAAGAGAACATATTAGGTGTGTAGTTTTATTTGGCAGTTTTAGCTGCACATTCAAACAAAGATAGTCCAGCTGCAGTCAGCGTGCTTCAGTTTGCGTGTGCTGTGACCTTTTGCTGACCTCTCTGTGGCTCCAGCTGGACTGACTGCACCACACTGATGTCATGAATTACACTGTTCACACACGGGTCCTTCAAGGCCCCAAAAACTGCTGTGAGATGATTTGTTCTTCCAAATTGGAAGTTGGAGCAGAAGATATGGAGGAGGAGTTAATTGAATTGAAGATTTTGACATTTAAAGCTTGATGTACTGGTTTTACAGTATAGGGATGGGGTAATGCCTAATATGTGTCCACATATTTTCATATATTTGCCATATAAGATAGTTGGTCAGGGAGGTGTTAACACAGAAGGCTTTCTTGTGAAAGCAACTGTAATCCATTATGTTAGGACTGAATAACATGACAATTTGACAATGTGTAAAGAGTTCTTTGTAATCATCAATCTGCAGAGAATTATCACCTGAATCTGCGACTTCCTTCATCTTTATGAAGCAGCATAGTAAGTTTCAGCTGATTGTTTAGCTAGCTGACCGGTAACTTTACGGTTTAGGTCCACTCACACCGCAGCAGGTCGAAAAAAACCTGAGGCTGACCAAACGGCAGATAGACACAGTTAGCAACTAGTTGTTGAATATAGTGGAGCATTTAGCAGCTAAAGATCCAGATATTTCCATCAGTAGTTGGTGGAGACCAAAACCGAGCTAAAAGAGAGTAAATATTGGACTTCCATTCATCAGGTGGACAAACACGACTCCAAATAAAGGATCATGTTGCTCCATGTCGTTGGAATGTATAAATAAGCAACTGTTTGCTAACAAGTTTGCCATATAAATGTAAAAGGTGTGTCAATATTGTGTTCACGACTTGTTTTCACTGCCCCAAGTGGCCAACAAATATATTGCAGATTTGAGAAAATCCTGTTTATAACATGTGGGTGTGGAGGCTTTGCCAATGTTAAAGCACCTTTGAGTGACAAAAACAGTGTAATGAGACAAATGACTGTAGCTGTTGAGTAAGTTCTTAAAGTAATAGCATTACTTTTTAAGTAAAATTTAAGTAACTTGCCAACACTGGTCAAAACACACCCTGCTGCTAGCTGAATGTCCAAGTTATGTAAACCACTTTAACATTACGCTGTATCAATGCATATATCCTGTTCTCCAAGCTAAGCTAAGCTATAAGCCTAGTGTATAGCTTGGTACCTAGCTTGTTGCTATATCTGACGTCATGCTGCAAATTCAAAGGCCCTGTTCCAGTTAGTAGAGAGTTAGCTAGTATGTAGTTCTGAGCAAATATTTCCATATTCTTTCATAGTCCAACTACACAATGCGCAATTACAGTCAATCAAATCCAATTAAACATACTGGACACAGTGCAACCTGCGTCATAGGTGTCCTTTGCTGACTATTCAGCACTGACAGAAAACAAGACAAAAGAAAGACTTCAGTCACAAAAATAAGAGCTAATAATAACATTTGATGAAGATTAAAAATATGGCAGAGAAAACAGTGGAGCAAATAAACAACAAAGCAAGTAACGGCTCCTGGCAGTTGTCTGCCAAGCACATCAGTGATGACGTTTTGCCTACAGTTAATCTAATGGTACAGAATATTCTTCTCAGTCGCAGTGACCTACATTTCCCACACAGATCATGCAGGTTTCATCTGTTCCATTCTTAATTCATGAGCTTTGAGACCATTTTGTACTGCTGATCTGTATGTACACTGTTAGAAAAAAAGGCACAGCGCCAGGAACAGAAGGTTCAGCAAGCGACCTTTAATGCTGTTGTGAAGTTGATCGTCACGTTCTCTCTCATCCAGGTGATGGACTGGATAGAAAACCATGGCGAGGCTTTCCTCAGCAAACACACTGGCGTTGGAAAATCCCTTCACAGAGCCCGAGCCCTGCAGAAAAGACACGACGACTTTGAAGACGTAGCTCAGGTGAGTTTATCCATGTGGATTTCCATTCAAGTCATGAAAAAAAAATCATCTCCCCTGTGTGAAAGACTGAATAAAATGCCAAAATGATCAATACTTTCCAATAGACGTCAACACTGTATTTCTGTGTTTATGTTTTCACACTGCACTGAAAGTTAGTTACCATTAGATTTGAGCTGACACTGAACAATCCTTTAACTGTAAAGCCGTTACACCTGCATCTTCTTATGCCATCATGCTTTCAGTTCTGCAGTTTTACTTGAAAATGAAAATCCTGTCACTATCTAAACAGGTTAAACAGTTCAGGCGTTGGCCAGTGCACGTCCATGTCTGGCCTCTCATTTACAGTATCGACATTAACATAGAGAAGGTCCATTCCTTCCATGAATATTTTTAAGTTAGTAGTTTGTTTTGAATGTTTATTCGCTTGCCTTGCAGACATCTGTAAGTAATCTGCCTTGATTAATACCAAATTTTCAAAACCACCATGCCTGTTGGTGGCAGGAAGCATGAAGACATGCCTGTACAGAACCATTTATGGTCACAAGCCTTTCCTGAAAGATTTGCAGAAGATGTTAATCATTCCTGAATTTCAGTGCTACAGTCTGTCACGTAGGAAACTCTGGAACTGAGCTTTGGTCATAAAAATGAAAATAAAACAAAAACATGTTGAAGATCTCAGTAAAGATTTAAAAATACTTGAGCAAATATACGGTTTTACGTCAGTGCAGCAAAAGAAATGGTTTGAACATTTGCCATAGTGAAATAAAAATAAAGGATGTAGAACATTTAACAACGCGTAATATTCATAAACAGGAAACTTTTTTGTCTAGTATTGAACAGTACACTGGCAGTTCAATTGCAAAGGCCTCAGTGTCTGCAACATAGGGAAGCCTATTGGAAAAACAGAACAGGAAAAACAGATTATGTTATAACATGAAGAATGTATTGTTATAACAAGATACTTTCATGTGATAACATAATATATATAATATAATAACAAGTTATTATGAAGTAGAAGCCTGTAACACTAAATAACAAAACATTTGTTAGAACGTGATAACTTATTGTCATAACATAAAACATTTTACGTTTTAACAATATAAGTTATTTATATTGTTGCTATTTATATTAGCTTTTTATAATGTGATACTGAAAAACATGGAATTTTAGACACTAGTTTACCAGTCATGGAAATACCTGGGAATTGATTAAAGTGACCAGAAATCCTGAAAATTACTCGCCTACATAAACCTGGGTGTGTATTTTCTTAGAAACATGACAGAGCTTCCAGGTCTTTAAAGTGAAGCCTTTGAAGTGTCTTAAAACCTGCATTCTATGTAAATTCCAGCAGGGGGAGCTCCATTGGCTGCAATAACACACCGATCCCATGCAGTCTAATTGAGAAATGACCCGACTTACTTTACTTACTTTACTTACTTAATTTATGAGCTCAGTGAACAGTTTCCTAAAGAATGTATGGTCTCAATCTCTAGTTTCAGTCTTCTTCCATACAGCATGATGTTCATTTAGTAAATGATGGTCCCATTTAGAGTAAAATAGACAATAAAGCAGGGTATGCTTGAGGGCGTGGCTAGCTTATGATTGACAAGTCATTCTCAGTGAGTCCGTTCATCTCAACGCACCAAACTCAGATCAAACTGTCCAACTAGGCAGTGCTGATCAAGTCAAAACTGAGAGCAGCTCAACTTGCAGCTCGTCACCTTCACTGGCTCCGTCTAACTGTCATGGCGACAGCCAAAATGCCAAACTCAATGCTTCAAAACTGTACTCCACAAACCAATAGATGATGTCACATAAATGTGTCAATTCTTGGCTTACTGGTGAATCTTATGCTCCTGGGAAGGTCCTGGAAAAATGATTTCTTGAAAAGAGTGATCCGTTTTTCTTTTTCTTCCTTGGCAGCAATATGATGTTGTGGCAACGTTTGCAGCACTATACACACCAAAACTGTCAGTTAGGCTTGCTTAAAGAAACAGAGCTTTAAAGAAATTTGGTTCATATACAGTTGAAGCTTTAAAGAGCTTTGAAGTGGATTGGATGTAATAAAAGTGTTTGATGTGTTTTTCTATTGAAGTTGTCAGTTGTCAGATTTGATTTATTTTAAACTCAAGTAAGTACTTGGATAGCAATGCTTTGGAGACTAAACAAATAGGAAAAGGTCAAACAATATCTTATGTGATCAGGATCAGCAAATCCTTACTGTCTCTGCTGCTGTTAAAAAGTCTAAACACACACACACATACTGCTTATCTGCAAGTTGGGTTCCACAGTATAACCTGTTCCTTCCTCATCTTTCCACCATTCTCCCTTTGTCTTTCTGTTATGTCTCTCTCCTGTTGCGTGGAGCTGTCGTCCCACCACCTTTCTGAGCTTACCTCAGCCAACCAGTGTATTTCCATACAGAGACTTTCAGAACAGTTTGCATTATGAGTGCTTTCTAGTTGAAGAGAGCATAATGTGGTCTACAACATCCACTGCCTCAAATCAAATAACAGTAAGACAGTTGTTTAATCCGAATCCATGGAAACTGATAAATCATTAAGTACTTTGGAGTGTCAGTAGTAAATGTTAGTTAATCCTATAAACGAGTGAGTGTTGATCCTATAAAGAGTGTGTAGTAGTGTAATCTGATGTTTACACTCTGGATTAGGATTAGCCTTCATAACCTGCTGTGGATCAGCATTATTTAGGTCAGACACTCTCTCTCTCTGTCTTTCTCTCCCTTTCCCCCCATTAGCATTGCTGGGGCAGTTTGTGGTGTTTTGCTGGTAAAAACCCTCCACTTAGCAATATACATATCATTAATACATTTAGTACACATTTAAGATACATGCCAAGAGATGAATATGTAAGTGTTTACCCACATTACGCTTTAATAGTCTCTCACATACAAACACAAAGGCGTGCTCAAACTTCTTTCATGAAGTCTCTCTCCTGAAGGGAAGAAAAGAGGGTTTAATGAAAACCCAGAGGACATTTCTCTAGGAAGGGTTGACACACCTGTTCCACTACCGACACTGGTAGGTTGATAGGGATAGGGGTTACATGTTGTTGAGAGAGTTTGTCAAGTGTGTTTGGAAATTGAATGAAAACTGAAAACCCTAGGTTTGTCTTGCTAAAGGGTTTGTAATGGAAAGACCTTTTTCACAATGGCTGTTTTGACATGAAATAGTAGAATAATCACAGGTGTTGATGCTAACTGAGGTTTAGTGTAGCAGAGCCTTTCCAATGAGCCAACAATAGCAGCACCCTGACTGTTGGCCTAGATAGAATTGATGACTGCTGTGAAAAAGGTTTATTGCACTATGGGTGGGCAATCTGGATAAAAAAAAAAAAATATTACAATCTATTTAATCGCAATCACGATCCATCCACAATCTAAATCGAGATTTCTTTTGTTTATTTCAGTTTTGAAATGCCCTGTAGACTGTAGCCACTAGCCTATGAATGTTTCCATTTGCGCCATTAAAACATGATATTGCAGGACCAGTGTGGGATTTAGTGGCAGCTAACTGAAGACAACTCACATCTGTATTTGATCTGAGAATGAGAACGGACTGTCAAGCATGTAGTGGAAAATACAGTGGAAACACACAAAAGGTCCTATCTAGAGTTAGTGTTTGGTTTGTCCATTCTGAGCTACAGTAGAAACATCGTGGTTCAACATGGTGGACTCGCATGCACAATGACAAAAACACAGCGATTCCTATATTCAGGTGATTATACACATACCTATGAATATTATATTCCGTTTCTGCCAATAGATCCTACATGTATATAAATAAATTCCAAATGTTACACACTGGACCTTTAAAGATACCACACAGGTTTCAGGATGGTGATTCAAACCTGAGATTAATTTAAGCTGTAAGCAGAAGCCAAGAGATAACATAATCATAAAATAACACTTTTTAAGTACTACAACACACCACCCAAGGAATAGCCATGCGTAGTAATTCGTCCAGTCAGCATAGCTAGTTGGCTGCTCCACTCTGTTGGTTTGTTCACAAAGCACAATCCACTAGTCAGTGTGGTTATGTGAAGTTTGGAAACAAAAGTCTCAACGATTTGCCTGAGGAGTAGATTGTAGACGTCTTAGATCACCAAATAAAATCGTCAGATGGCCCACCCATAATGTGGCCAATTTGCTAGTTGTGTGAGTAGTAGTAAACAGTACTAGTAGAGTCTGATTCGGGGGGAAAAACATTTACGGGTTAGAACTGCTTTGGGTCTGAATGCAGGAATGTTAGTTTATAACCTTAAAATGGCTGTAGCTTCAAAAGTATAGCTGCTATATGGAAAATCCAGATCATTTGGATTTATTTGCCCATTTTTTAAGATATCTTCATAAAATTTAATTCAGGCCCCATGAAACGCCTCATCTGGATTTATTTTTTCATTCAGCTGATTTGGTTCTTCAGATAGTTTAATAGCATATTTTATCTATTTGTTTCTTAGTTTTGTTTGTCAAGTATTTTTTCATTTATTTTACTTTTTATTTACCATTCATTAATTTTGTCCTAAAAAGTCATGCTTGGGCTTCTACATTGAGGTGACAGGGGTGATTCTGCTTTCCTGTCGTCTCCCTGCTATAATCCTCACCCTGAACCAAACCAGTCATGCAGCAAAGAGTAATAATCCCATGTAAATTATAATCTTTATTTTCTGAATAATCCCTCTAACATGTGAAATATCCAGACTGTAAGCTCTCACCCAAATACCCTAACTCATATTCCTGAATAATTGGGATCATAACGCAACCTTTTTTTAATCACTCTAGTACCACACCCCCAAACCTCCAGCCACCCCAAAGTATCTCAGATGTAATATGTTTCCTGAAGGGAAATATTCCAGTGATAATCTGTCATACTTACCAGAATACACCGACACTAATCCATTTTGTCCTCCTGGTGAATACCGAAAGCTTTAACACTCAGACAGCATTTAGTCCCTTGTCAGGGGAGGTGGAGGTGGAAACAAGAAACCTTACGCTGTTGATTTACAGAAAGTGGAATTAATGAATTGATACTGTGTGTGTGTGTGTGTGTGTGTGTGTGTGCCTGATCTAGTTTTTAAAGAAAGAATCATAATGTTAGTGAACATTTGAGTGATAATACATGAGAAGTCCTGATCTATGAAAATAATGTGAGGAGGCAGAGGTTAAGAACACCATAGTTATTGGCATTACCTCTCACAAGTCACACCCCTTGGCATAACACAGTAGGCAATGTGAGATGCCGTACTGTAATCGGCATGCATCTAAAGTTTGTTGTCACCTAACTGCAGTTACCATATGCCTGCTAATGTAGCATGACACAGAAAAACTGTTTCTCTATGCCAATGTTGTCAGTTTTATAGTATTTTTCAGTTACATTTGTGTGCTGGTGTAGGTATCAGATCTGCTCGGAGTCCTGCGTTTTCAGACAACTTGGCTAACGTTAGCTAAAGTGGTGCCAAAGTTTTGTTAAGTTATGAAAGTTAATAATAATAAATTATTATTAATAATAGAATGCATTGTAACACTTTTTTGGAGCTGATGGAAGTATCTAGCAAGTGAGCCATGTGTTGTCTGCTTCTCATCTCTGTTGAGAGTTGCACATGCGCAGTACCGACAGGACAGGGTGTATTGCGGCACAAACACATGGCATCCATACACTTTTGGACATACAGCCAATCATGATGTGTTACAGCAGCTGTTAACACAGGACCCCAAGCGGATGTGGTGGGCCGAGCACATCTGGTACCTACAGCGAATGCAATTTAATTTCATTCTGATGTGCACTTGTCCTGTGTATTGTCTGATTGATAATAAAGTTAGGCTTGATCTTGAATCACAGACTCATAAGACTAAGCCAATGAATATATAAGATATCTATATCATTGATATATGTGATGGTGTTCCCTCCTCCCCTTTCAGAACACATACACTAATGCAGACAAGTTGCTGGAGGCAGCTGAACAGCTGGCTCAGACCGGAGAGTGTGACCCCGAGGAAATCTACAAGGCAGCCAGACACCTGGAGGTCCGAATCCAAGACTTTGTCCGCCGAGTGGAACACAGGAAACTGCTGCTCGACATGTCTGTCTCCTTCCACACACACACCAAGGAGGTGGGATATACAATCACAAAAAGAACACATTGTATTATAATTGCACCAGTTATTATTTTTTTAGAATTCTTTTGTGTATCCAGTATTTTCAGACACAGCAGTGCTGAGGTGGTTCAGCGGAAGGACAATTCTGTGCTAATGGATTGATCCTGCATCTGCCAACCTACCTGTCTGTCTGTCTGTCTGACTGTCTGTTTGCCAATCTGCTCTTCTAGCTGTGGTCGTGGATGGAGGAGCTGCAGAAGCAGCTGTTGGATGAGGTGTGCTGCGATTCTGTGGATTCGGTTCAGACTCTGATCCAGCAGTTTCAACAGCAGCAGACAGCCACACTGGAGGCAACGCTCAATGTGATTAAAGAGGGAGAGGAATTAATACAGCAGCTCAGGTAATAATAATACAATTTAAATTATTATTCATGATGGCGTTTGAGAGGGAGAAAAAAATCATACAGAGGCCCATATAATGATATTAAAATTCAGAATATTATTAAAGAGAGAGAAGGATTTAGAAGCTCAGGTAATAATATTCATGAAGATGTCATTAAAAAGTTAAATTTATTATGAATTACCATGTTGGCACAAGTATATGATGATATTTTTTTTTATCTCTGCTCCTGTCTCCATCTCTCTGTTTATCCTTCACTTACTTTTATTTGTGTGAAAGGAAATAATTTAATATTACTTGTGAAAATTCACACAGTTGTTCTGTATTTCATAGAACTCATTTAAAATAAATAATGATATGAATAATTTAGAATACCGTGCTTTGTTTTTAGAAATGTACACCTTTAATCAATGGTCAAAAATATAAAGCATATATTCCTACTTTGTTTGATTTAGAGTGCTTTTCCTCTTATAATGAGGGAGATCTTGTGTTCGGTATAATGTCTCCCCCTGTCACTCTTTCCACAGAGATGCAGCCATGTCAACCAATAAGACGCCACACTGCAGTTCCATCGCACACATCCAGGGGGTGCTGCAGCAGCTGGACGAAGCCCAGGGCCAGATGGAGGAACTGTTCCATGAACGCAAAATCAAGCTGGACATCTTTCTCCAGCTACGCATATTTGAGCAGTACACTATAGAGGTAAGCAACAGGTTCCAACCATCTACAAACATAAAGATGGACAACATGATAGCTCTTCTGAAGTGAAGCCAAAACATCTCTATTAAACTACACTTCAAATGCATTTTTCCCAAAGATGGTTTCTGGCATTTTAGGTAGTCCTTATCACGCTGATTTCATTGTGTCATTTTAAGTTCGCTTTTATTCAGTTCAGTTGGTATTTTAAAGACATAAAAACTAGGGGCGCCTGGTTAGCTCAGTTGGTTGAGCTGGCGTCCCATGTACTAAGGTTGAGTCCTTGGCGTCCAAAAATGGGATTTGGCTGTTGTACAGGAAGTAGAGACGCAAGGTCCATATTTTGAATGTCGATGGTTCCAACCTGCTCATCAGGAGCGATACAGTGCTTCCTGTCCAAAGTGCTCACAATGATGCTCACCCCTATACACATACTCAGGACCCATCGACTGAACACTTTGAATGGACTTGTAGGAGCCCGACGATTACTAGACAACCCACTCTACCAGCTGAGCCGCAGCCGCCCCTGTGGCTGCGTAGTGTCTCCTGTGTAGTGTATCATAGTGGACGACCACCAATACTGCATCTGGGACGCCTCGCCACCTCTTGACAAAAATATTGTGTAGTCTGAACCTGGCTTTAAACCACTAACAATTACAGCTGTACAACATGCCAATACCTTGTGCCTCTGTGACAGAGAAAATAATGAGTCATCATTCATATACCAAAACAAAATGCAGTAGCCACTGACTTTGGAGTGTTGTGTTGTTAACTGTGTCTCCTCGTGGGCACATTGCTTCTGTTACTGCAGGTCACAGCGGAGTTGGACGCCTGGAACGAGGATTTATCCCGCCAGCTGAACGACACCGGCCGCTCAGGTGGTAGCAGCAGCAGCAGCAGTGGGGGAGGCGGCACCTCCTCCTCCGGCAGCGCAGAGGACATTGGCCTGGCAGAGCAGCGGCTGAAGAGGCACGCCGAGAGGAAGGCAGCCATGAACAACATGACCTACGAAGTGATGCAGCAGGGTCAAGACCTGCACCAGTACATCATGGAGGTCCAGGCTTCAGGTAAAACACACACCTCTTTTGTTCTATGAGGAGGAAAATTAAGTATATGGGAGTTTTTTTATGCTGTGCATACACTACAAACTAAATCAGGCACATTCTTTATTGCTTTAGAATACAATAGAAGTTGAACTGTCCCTCAATCCTGGTCAGCTTGTTTCCATTTACTAAAGTCCAGTGCTCATACCAGACGAGATATTAAAAACAAGGCTGCTCTCTATCAGGCTCATGCATTCATGCTGCACTTTGTTTGTGCAGATGTGAGCATGCGTGTCCCTGTTGCCCTCTGAATGTGGCCGTGCAGGCTCACATGTGGATTTACAGTTACGGCGGAGGAGAGAGGGAGACTGATGCTTAGACGCCACCATGAACTGTGATCCCAAAGAAAAGCGTGTTGTGCAGAACAGGGAGAGAGAATTAGGTTAAAAAATCGTCACGGCACAATTCTCTTACTGTGTGTGTGTCTGTTTGTGTATATGTGGAGGTCACTGCCTCTGTCACTCTGCCCCCTGGAGTGATAAATCTCTCTCATCCACCACAAACAAACACAACACTCTTGCTCTCTAGCAGCGCCAGTCGCTGGTGAAGTAGAGCATTAATTGTTAACTGATACTACAGACTTTTATTGAGTTGAATTTGTGAAATTAAAGGAATAGTTCAATATTTTTGGAAATACGATTAGTTTATTTCTTTGTCTTTATGTCCAGTACACAGCTGGATTCAGCCTATGTTAGCATTAAGACTGGAGATACTGGGGAAATAGCTGTGTTCAAAGCAAAAAAACAAACAAACATAAAAGGTCATGTAAAAGTTAACGTGATAAATCATCCATAACATCACTAAACATGCTTTGATCCTTGACTGAAGAGGACAATGTTTTGTTGGAGATAATGCATGTAGAATGCCAAAGTCACAGCAGTGTGTGTGTGTGTGCGCGCGCAGGGATCGAGCTGACAGGAGAGAAGGACATGGACTTGGCCTCACAGGTTCAGGAGCTGCTGGAGTTCCTTCACGAGAAGCAGCAGGAGGTGGAGCTCAACGCACAGCACACGCACACACGGCTGGAGCAGACCCTGCAGCTACGCCACCTGCAGGCCGAGGTTAAACAGGTAAACGCACATGCAAACAGCAGTAGCAGCCACTGAAGGGACTGAAGCAGTTCTCAAAAATGTAATTTATGGGCGTCTTATATATTTTTAATTTTGCTGAGGAATCATCATTCAGTACCTCATGTTTTGAAATTTGG